ATAGAACAACTGATTACTTAATGGTACTTTTTTTTTTTTTGAGTTCTAACATTAAGCCATACAGAAACTCGAAACCTGAAAGGATTTAGCACTGGTTAAAATTCCTTAATCATATAATTAAGATACCAAAATATATCTTTGATCTCCCAAGTAATATTTATAAATTATTTACATCACTGCAAATGAATGAATTACAACCAAGATTTGTCCAAAGTAATGGCTGTACAGAAAAATGATACTGAAATGGGACCATAAGGTCCCTGATGTTGTATTGTTCTACATGCCTGTAGACTAACAATGGCAAACATTTGTGTTATTTGCATCCTTTGTAGAATGCATGAGTTCTCCAACCCGCACTGGCAAAAGCGGATGCAACCTTAGGATGCTGAGCAGCTGGCTGGGATGTGTCAGAACATACTATGTCGTGGCCCATTTTACCAGTCCTTGTGAGTTAACCGGAAAGTACTTGAGAGCATTATACAGCTAATTAGCTTTGAGAAAACATTAACAAAATAAATAAAAGAAAGAAACACAAGGAGAAACCCTTTTCCTTTGCAATGAGGTATTATTTTCTTATTCTTATTCATTTTTAGTATAATGAGAGGAATAAAAAACAAAAAAGGAATACATCAATATCCTTGAATAATCTGGGGAGGGAGGGAACACAAGCATCCCAAGCCCTGCACCATGAGCATAAGCATCGCCTCTATCAGTCCCTCAAAGCATGAAAGAGGTAGAGCAGTAGCACAGTGTTCCCTGGTATTTAACCAGTTGTTGGGGGGTATGCAGGAGAAGGCATTTGAGGTCATTCATGTCAGGAAGCTTTCCTCCAGTTACTGAGGGTCACTCTGCAGCCACTTTCAGCCAGCTGCTCTTGCAGGGACTTTGATCCAGGGCAATATGTAGAGCATGGTTTTCCCAGAAGAATGACTAAGACACTCACTATACCTTCCAAATAGTAGATATTTGATACCATACATTAGCACTGACGAGAAGATTAGCAAATAGCCTTGCTGTATAAAGGCTAGAGCTGTGTGTCTGCAGTTCATTTAGATTTGCTTAATTTAAAACAGCAAATAGCAGTATCATAGCTACCTTCTGGCTGGTACTAAGATAGAACATTTTAAATTTTCATATAGAAAAAAGTGCTATAGAGTTGGCAATACTAATTAGTCATACAACATTTTCAATGTCCACATGTATTTTGAGAAAATTTAACAGAGACCACAAGGGCCCTATACATCATATAGAACACACACTATTTACACCTCTGAGAACACCATCAACAAAACACACTTGGAAGATTCATCGATGGCAAGACCTACCAAATCGATACTGTACATTAATTGGTCTTCCATATAAACGAATTCCATTCAGCAAAGCTATGGCATAAGACACTGATTCAGGGTGTTTAAAGCAGACAAATCCAAAAGACTTCGGCTTTCCTTCTCTGTCTTTGCATATAGTCACTTTGGTTAATGGCCCAGCCTATAAGAAACTTAAAAATTATTTTCTCATAAATCTAAAGATTTTTTTTTACATTCAGATAAATAAGTATATTCAACTTCAAAGTTAAAAAAAATTGTTAGCAATAATAGCTTTATGTAGTTCTGCAAATATACATTTTACTAACAGTAATATTTCATCACACTTTCTGGTATTTTTTGGCTGATCAAGGAAACATTTGTAGTATTAGGAACAGAAAACACCCTGTTAGGCTTAACAAAACAATGTAGAGAGCATTTAAATCTAAGAATGAAATACTACTTTTCTCCATACATATTAACTGTGTAAACTCAAAAATAAATTGAAATCACCAACCTAATGTTATTTGAGTGATCCTAAAAAAAGTGTTAATATTGTATTGAGGCCTAATTTCTTTTGTCAAGATTAAACATTTTTACAAGAGAAACTAAATTTATCATGTGTTTTGATCTAATAATCCTATTTGGTAAATATTTCCAAAGAAAAAAAAGTTTTAATATCTTTAAAACTTTTAAGTAGGTGCACTATTTATATGAGTGAAAAATTAGAAAGATTCCAAATCCAACAATGGGTGAATATTATTCCATTGTGTATTGCTAAAGTGGGATAAAATAAATTTAAAATATTCAGATTGTATTTACAGTAAAACCTATAATTAGCAAAACAGAGTTAAAAAGTAGAAGCAAATATTATAAAAAAGTGTTAATTAAAACTAAAAACTTATATCTCCCCCATTATAAGTGTTACAGGTAGTACCCACAAAGACTTATAAACAAGATTTAATGGCAAATGGCTCATACTTTTTAATTGTATATTAATGATTGATTAATTTTCTCTGTAGAGTTTGGATAAATAAACTGCCTTTAAAGAAAAATGTTAACTATTATCTTTAAAATTATACTATATTTTAAGATTCAGTCTTTCTTTTTTTTCATTTTCTGCTTTCCCAGGGACTAGCTCATCCTTCCCTCTGACTTCAAGGACCATTCACCAACAAATCTATTTGTTATGCTCATGACTCTTAGAGACCTCTGTGTGACTGTACTTTAGACTCAACACATTTGAAACTGCATTCATTATCTTTCTCCCCCACATCTTTACTTCAGTATTTCTTAGTCAAAAGTACAAAAATATTAAACCTGATTGTCTCACGTCAAAGGATAATGAGAAATTAAAAAAAAAACTAGTAAAAGGATAAATACACAGTAATAAAATAAAATCAATTTTAATCAGTATTGTTCTTCTACAGATAGTAAATATATAAAATCACAAATGAACAGAATATGCTTAAATGCTTTGAATTTCACAAATTCAAAGATATACCAAAGCATTTTTAAAGATAAATTTCAATAAGATTTGCTCATAGCAACAATCCCATCACCTTTCAATCTTTTTAAAGACTAAGGTTATGTGTTTTAAAAAGCCTTTTTAAAAGATACCTCACTTTAGCAAATCCTTCCAGAATACAGAAGGACCAAGGCAAAAATAAAAACATATGCTTGGTTGCCTGATCTCTAATGGTGAAATTATAAAAAATGAAAAAAATGTATATATTTGTATATAATTTACATATTACATTATAATATAATATAATATAATATAATATAATATAATATAATATATATATACATATATATGTATATAAATAGATGGATCCAAGCCATGCTGACTAGAAATAATGTAAGTGCATGGGGCCTTCATGATTATCCCCAACCCCTTTACCAACTCCCCGTCTTCTTTTTGGAAGCTCATCATTAAAGAAGCCTTCACGGGAAAACAACTATAAGGCTTCTTTCTGTTTTCCTTCCTTTCTTCCTTCATTCCTCCCTCCCTCCCTTTCTTTCTTTTTTTTTTTTTTTGTCTTAAATTTTTTTTTTCTTTTAGTTAGAGTATAAGTTTCAAATGACATTTGGGGAAATAACTATAGGAAACTATCGGAACAGATTTAAAAAGGCCAGTTTTTTAAACTTTTTAAACTTAAGTATGTTTTTAAGAGGGCATATTAGAATAAGCATAAAAGTCTTAAAATCAACAATATTTTTCAAATAATAACAAGTTTTATGTTCCTGGGGTGGGGAGGGAATTCTCTCTACCAAATTGTGTATATCTATAATTAGCAGTAGACAGACACAAAGTTAGGGCTTTTCAGAAACTATATCAAGAACCCTTTTCACCACCGGTACTCATACTTAATAGTTTTGCTATAGTCTCCCTTGGAACTTGCCCTTATTAGGACAGAGAGAAGTCATTCTTTCTTGATTTCTCTTGATGTTAGTAGTAATAGTAATACTATCAGTAGTAGCAGTAGTTTGCAGCAGCAAACGCTTAAAAGTGCCAGACTCAATTCTAACTGTTTTACCTGGATTAATTTATTTAACCTTCACACCACATCATACTGTAGATGCTATTACTACCATTTGACATTTAAGGAGACTGAAGTACTGAGATATTCATTTACTTGCCCAGTGTCACTTTGCTGACATCAGAGTTAAACAACTACGCTATATTACCTACCCCCCTCTTTTGTAGATTATCTTAAATCAAAAATTTAATTAAAAATTTTCCCTTTTAGAAAAACCAAGGCGTATCTCTTAAATTTGTATGCTCAGCATCTTACTTTGTGTTTGCCATGTAATTTCTGTACCATTAAACAGATAAATGGCTGGACGAAGATATCTCTTTAGCAAGTGACACCTACGTGTATATAATAGGTGAGTGTTTAGAGGAGACAGAGGAGGCTTACTCATGGAAGTCCTAGGTCTCAAAAAGTTTCCAGAAGGTCCTTTTGGATGAAATACAGCGAGCTTCCCAAGGAATCAATTGGTCAGCTATGATGCGGCTGCCAAATCACTAAATTTCATTTACTATACTGGAGTAAAAATACCCTCCATATAAAAGGGCTTGGGGGCATAAGTAATATATAGGGCAACATTTTAAAATCTGTACCTCTCATTTCGCTGGATGTAAGGCGTGAGGGTGCTTATTGCCTGAAGGAAGGCAGTGACAGGGCTGTTTTCTGTTTGCCCAAGATACTCAAGGCCCAGGCAGTTTCTGGGAAGCCCTCACTCAGGGCTGGGCGCTGGGGAGAGCCAAGTCACCCCCTACCCGCAGAACTCTACAGTGGGTACGGCGATAGGACGCACATTATAGCACTTCAATACCAGCTGCTCACGTAGGGACAGGTGCGCCCAAACGGAACTGAACTATAAACCTAGGCACAGGACGGGGCGGGAAGGGGGCCGGGCACCGGGTGGTCCAGGTGTGCCCCGCCCCTCGGGCTGCGCTTCCGGCTTGACGCTCCCCGCCCCTCCGCCGCCCCCCGCAGACGGTACCTGAAGGAACAGCTCGTAAAGAATCTCTTCCCGTACTCGGGCCTCTAAATTCCCCACAAACACCGTCCTGTCGGCCTCCTCCTGAGCAGGGAACATCCCTCCGGTCTCGGGCCGAGGATAGAGGAGGCACCCAGACCCCGCCCCCTCTCGCCGTGTTACTGCGCCGCTCGGACTAGGGGAGTCGGACGGACGACGGGAGCGCGCGCGCCAGGGGCGGAGCGAGGTAGGGGCTACGCCCCCCGGCGCCCCGCGGGGCCGCCCATCATGCCGCTCCAACGCCCTGGTTCCGGCCGGGACCGAGGGGGTGTGAGTGAGAATAAAAAAGATTACTGTGTTCGGGGCTTGCCCCTCTTGCTTGTGGAGTGCCCTCCATTTTCTTGGGCACACCGTTATTAATTGACTTCGGATTTATTCAATAAAAATTTTCAATAAAATGTGTGTAGAGAGGCTTTTAAGACGTACTAGCTGCTGTACAGTCGCTCCTAGGCTAATGGGGCTAAGATTTGTTTCCAAAGAGTAAATGTATAAATCACTAGGATTTTGAATGTATATGCTGTACAAAATACTTTTTGAAAGAATAAATCCATGCATGCATGTCAATGGGTGTGGAATACAATGGAGTGCTAGAATTAAAGTTTATTTACCTAGGAAGCGCACCCTAGAGAAGTCTTTGAAAATGGGCATAGACGTTTTAGGTGGACTCCAGAAGACATTTCTCAGGCCAGAAGGCATGAGAAAACATCCTATACCTAGGAACACTAGAAAGAGTATAGCAGGTTTTGTGACTGAAGCCAGAATTCTTGAGGATGGCTGCAGGGCGCTTGTAGCGGGATCCAATGTTTGTATACAGTGACCAGGGTGAAGAATTCATTCTTTTTTGAGGAGGGTTAGGGGAAAAAAAAAAAAACTCATCAAAAAAGAAAGAAAGAAAGAAGAAGAAGAAAGGTAATTAAAGGGGGAAGAAAACCTACTCAGAATGTCAATAGATTAATAAATCAACTGACAGCTATTAACTTGGTTTCCTTTTGAAGAATCCATGTCTCCAAAAGACCCTGAAATTATCCTGTAAATAAACAAGTAATCAGGACATCATTTGGCCTTTAGTTAGGAGTGGTGATAATTCATTTTGCATTGCACGCATTTACTTAGTTGGTGGACAAAAATGCCCTTCTTTTCTAATGAAAAGGAACACATCTTTGGAAACCTGATTTCTAATTGAACTGTGACATTATTTAATTTTATGATTTTATATAAGTAATTTCACTTTTAGGAATTCAAATTCTATTTCTTAAGGAATGTATTGAGCTAATGTAATTACAGTACTTCATTTAATATTTTCCTATACAAATAAATACAACATAATGTGTCAGTAACTTCAGCAGTCACCTTCTATTGATATATCATAAGTATACAGGTCCTGTCTCCATTTTTCCTTTCCTCTGCCATCAACATTATTGTGGTAGGGTAGGAAGGGGTTAAAGAAACTAGCACATTGTAGTTATATAACAAATATGTGTTGATCAAATGAATGGATACCCGAAGATTTCTATTATGTATAATTCCACTGATTTTTAAAATTCATTTATCTCATAAATCTTATCCAAATGAACATATTTTTCGTTTCCCCTCAGTCACACTGATCTGGGAGCTGTTATCTTCAGGTTTCATTGTAAAATTTGCAGTGCCCATGTATGTGATTGTGAATGATACAAAACTTTAGCTATATTTACAAATAGTTAATGATCATGTTGTCTTGCTATATTGAGGTTTGCATCATAGTTTTGAGGTTTGCATCATAGTTTTTTTTCTTTTTTTAGAAATGTGTAGGATTTTCATGTTCTTATTAATCCTCTTTTCTTTTGGCAGGACTAAGTTTATGGTGCTTGTATTTCTATGGTACTTTTTTTTACTGTTATAAGCTCTGGGGTGCCTGGGTGGCTCCGTTGGTTAAGTGTCTGACTCCTGATTTCTGCTCAGGTCATGATTGAGCCCCATATCATAGGCTCCGGCTGCTCGCTCTCTCTCTCTCTCCCTTTCCCTCTGCCCCTCCCCCGCTTGCTTGTATGGGTGTGCTCTCTCTTTGTCAAAATATATAAGCATTAAAAAAATTAATGTTATGAGCTTTGAAAGCTCGTGCAGTTAACTGTTCAGAATTTGACCTTAATATATGTCATTTTTCTAACGTAAGCTTACTGTACTTCCTAGCTTCTGTTGAATGAACACGTAGTAATAAACCTAGCAGTAGCTAAAAAATAATTCACTTATTTTTAATGTTTACTTATTTTTGAGAGAGAGAAAGAGAGTGAGCGCGGGGGAGGGGCAGAGAGCAAGGGGGACCCAGGATCTGAAGTGGGCTCTGCTGACAGCAGCTAGCCTGACTCAGAGCCCAAACCCATGAACCATGAGATCATGACCTGAGCCAAAACCAAGAGTCAGCTGCTTAACCAACTGATCCACCCAGTTGCCTCAAAAAGCCACCTTCTTAATGGATTTTAAAAACTTCACTTTTTGCTTTTGCTTGGTTTAATTTTTTTTTTTTTTCAGAGAGGGAGAGAGAGAGAGAGAGAGAGCGCGCGAATACAAGTGGAAGAGGGTAGTGGGAGAGGGAGAGAAAGTGAGTTCATGACATAAGCCAAAGTGGGACACTCAACTTGTGCCCCCAAATATGATTCACTTTATTCTCAGCATTTCCTGGACCATTAGCCAAATATAAGTTTCAATGTGTTAAGTGCATGGTACACTATAAAGAATTAGCCTTTCTTAACTCCTATCAGGATGTTTTGTACCCCTAACTTTATGTATTCAAAAATGAAAACGTTTATATATAATAATATATGTAAAACTATAAGCTATGTATATAAATAAATAAGTGTATCTATTTACCTATCTATCTAAAACTAGAGCTTCTTTCTTCCCTTCTTTGCCCAACTGACTCTTACTCTCTTTGGCAGTTCAGCCCAGGCAGCATGTCCTGAAGGTCTTCCCTGAAGTCTGCACTCTAGATTAGCTGGCGGTCCTGCTGTGTGGTGCCATAGTTTCATAGATACGCCTTTTTCAAGCCCTCCTCACTGTGAATTGCTATAAGGTAAATAAATATATTTCAGTACTTAGGACAATCCCTGACTGACATATCTGTGGATATATCATAAATAATTGTTGATATAGTACAGTTTGAATAAACAAATGTCTCTACTTTGTATGTTCGACAACTACATTATACCTGGAAATTAGTAGATGCTTAGTAAAAGTTGAATAAATGAATGAATGAAAGGAGAAACTTGATAAATTAGTATTAAGGGACTCCAGTTAGTGGATGCTTTTTCTAAAATTGACCTCACTTTTGACTTCACTTATTTCCTACCTTCATTTTTTATTTATTCTGATTTTCTTAACTGTATCTGTCCCAAGCTTTTTTGTTTGTTTTACTTGTATTAGATACTTATTGTAAAGAAATGTTTTTAATGTTTAAAGAAATAAATAAGAAAGTAAAAATCATCAATAAGTCTACCATGCAGACATAAACATTTTGGAGGAAAACCTTCCTTAGTTTGAAATATACATGTGCATATACATATACATATATACATAAAACATTTTAGGAAAATAAACCTTACCATACATACTGTTTTGTAGCTTACCTTTTCTCCCCTTGTGCTATGTAACGGAGACTTTCTTTACCAATAAATAGTGATTTATACACATCATTAGTTTTAATCCACCGTATGTATCCAATTAGACTAATCCCCCACTATTAGACGTTTACATTGTTTCCATTTTTTTTGCCATTAAAAAAATACTGATATTAACATCCTTGCTCATATGCCTTTGTGCACATATGTTAGTAAAAAATTTATGTAGGAAAATATCTTGGATGTTTAATTGCCGAATCAAAGGGTAATAGCCATTAAGCATTTTGACACATATTGCTAAATTATACAAAAGATTGTGCCAAAATATATTCTGATAAACAATGACTACCCCATCTCAATATACACTACTCAGCTACCTATTATAATTACCTATAAACTGCCTGGAAGCCTGCCTGGTACACAGAGCTCAATCAATTTTATATCTTCATCCTCATCATCCTCATTATCACCTTTATAGTATTATTAATAATGTATCCATGTCTGTAAGCTTAAAATCATTTTTTATTTCTCAGGAGGACTAAGAAAAGCACAGAAATATTGTCTTACTAAATTATAGACATTTTATATAATATTTTGTTACTCCTCAGTATTATGCTATTTAATGCAATGGACATTCATCTGTTTATCGCTATTGACAGTAAGTAAAAAATATGAAAACAGTATAATTTTTATACTTTGTTACTGCTATGTATTGTACTGTCTTAAATGCCAAGTTGAGATTTTCTTTTTTTTTTAATTTTTTTTTAACGTTTTTATTTATTTTTGAGACAGAGAGAGACAGAGCATGAACAGGGGAGGGGCAGAGAGAGAGGGAGACACAGAATCTGAAACAGGCTCCAGGTTCTGAGCTGTCAGCACAGAGCCGACGCGGGGCTCGAACTCATGGACCCTGAGATCATGACCTGAGCCAAAGTCGGACGCTTAACCGACCAAGCCACCCAGGCGCCCCCAAGTTGAGATTTTCAATATAAGCTCTTTAGAATGACAACGATGAAAATAATGTATAAGATTCATATTACAGTGTCACATCAAAAGCACAAAATAAAAGAAGTATATGTTAAATAGGAAAGGTTTATCTTTTAATTTAAGTATAAACTTGTTAATAATCTCTTTGAACATGTACAACAATTGCATTACATTTTTTCCCACATTTTGAAGAGATGTGGTTTATTTATATTTTTGTTAGAGAAGTACAGTTGTTACAGCTAAGTGATATTAAAGGACATAGGTTATTTGGTGGTCTCCAGTCAAATTATAGTAATGGCCCCCTTCTAAAAATGAAGTTTCATATAAACCCCCTAGAGATCAAACAATTGAAAATGATGATTTTTACATTTTTCACAGTTTTTAAATGAATATCTCATTTTGTTTGTGGATTCTTTGAAATATTTCCCTAGACTTCAGATTAGTTTCTGCTGATACTGTTCTTAAAGTATCTTTGCAAATTTACAGAAACTTGAATTTACAAAAAACAAATTTAATTTTTGAACTGATAATGCATGTACTGAAAATGGTTCTCTATTTTCCTGACCTACTAAAGTCTATTACTGGAAGGAAAATAAGGGGAAAAATAAACATGCGAAAAGAAACCTATAATAATTTTTAAAAAATGTTTGTTATATTAAAAACAAAAATATGTTTTTTTGATTTTCCAATTGTAGAACTCAAGAGACAAGCTAGCATTTTGAATTTTAAAATAGCCACTGAATTTGGGTTGCAAAATGATATAAACATGAAAAGGTCATATTTTATATCTGACAGCTTGATGGATATGGATTTTATTATTGATTTTATGGTATATGAAGACAGCTTGGTTTGTAATCAAAATGAACATAAACCACAATGTTTTCTGACTTTTTCCATTTCTAGCATTTTCTAACATGACATTTGCTCTAGGCTTTCAATACACATATTCTTCCTGACCGCTTCTGAAATTCTGAGGTTAAGAGGAATAAGGAAAGATATAATTAGCTTTTTCTTTCCCTTTAATTCAACTTGTGCAGCTGTTTGTGACTTATTACAGAGTTTTGACTTAAAAATCCTCTTACAACCACAAGCCAGATGAGAGGGAAAAAAAAAAAAAAAAAAAAAAACCTACCTTACCTTTTCAACAAACAGGGAGGAGCAAAAGATCAGGGATCTTTTATGGTAAAACCTACCAGACTCTGACAATCTTACAAAAGAGAAACCTTAATGAATTTCAGAATTTCTTTTGTGTTGAATCTCAGAGCTGCTTTTACTTTTACTGGATTCCAAATGAGAGTATACATTTTTCTTTGTTTGATGTGCTGGGCAAGATCTGGTAAGAACTTAATAATTTGATTTATCTTACCAAATTGTGTGTCAAATAATGAGTATAGTGTTTTGATTCTGGGATAAAAAATTCTGTGACATCATGGTATGAAAGGAAATAGTATGACTGTGAATACTAACTATATCAAATGGTTAATTATGAATAAAGTTTGTGTGTGTGTGTGTGTGTGTGTGTGTGTGTGTTTGGTAAATTTTATATTCTGTATTTTACTTAATTTCCAGTTAATAACTAAGTAAATAGAGAACAAATATTCAAGAGACAGAATAATTCAGTAATAGAGAAATCTTTTTGAAAATCATGACTTGATAAACATCTTATTTCAATTTGAATGCTCAAATAATCTTACTTTTGAGGAAAATGTTTATATAGGTAAATTGTCAATTGCAAAACTAACAAGTAAACGTATACTACAACTTTTTTTTTTGTCCTATTATGCTCAAGTGTGACTAAAACCAAAATTAGTTTATAGTAATAAAGTAGAACTTTATTCTCCTGTTTTACAGATTTATGGTAATAAAGTTTACTAATGTTAGTAATATCATTTATTTCTTTGTGGTAATAAAGTAGAAGTACTTGTTCTACTTTATGATAATGTTATAAATTTAAAATTCATGATGCATATAGATTTTTGTCCCTTGCAAAGGCAGATGATTTTGTTTTAAATTTTCTTTAAAAAATTATTGAATGCATACTTGAATAACCTTAAAATATCACCTAGAAATTCAAATCATTTCTTGTTTCTTTTCAATTAGATATTTGAGTTTATCATAAATTCTAGAAATGTTTGAGTTTTATATTCAAATGCAGAATCTAAATGGTGCTAATATACAGTTTATTATATTTTTTCTCATTTAGATTTTTCTTGGTAGGCATTTTATATTTGTGTAATGCATGATAGTGCCACCTTAAATTGGAAGTCAGAGAAATTTGAAGTCTAAGCCCCTAACTTTTATGTCATTTAGAGTTGGCATTATCTTAGTATCATAGTTTCTACTCCAACCTCATGTCGCAGACTTTCTAAGATTATTGTTTTGATTAGTAATTAGGAATTACCTAATTTTTCAATTGGGAACCCTCAGATATAATTACTAAGTATGTTTCTGTCTCTGTTGACTGAAATAGAACACAAGACCTTTTAGATATTAATAACAGTAAATAGAAAATAAGGTGAAGAATTCATATATTCTCAAAATCATTTGTAACCCATGCAAACTCTTGTGCTCTCTGTCATTTTCCTTGAAATCCCACATGCCTAGGGAATTTTGTTGAATTTTCAGTAATTACTTTCATGTAAGTATGTTTTATTTAAACCATACATTCTCCTCCCTTCTCTGCTAGAGATTATTATAGATGTCTCTTAGCATCTCCTCAATCCTCACACTCCTCAACATGAGAATCATTATATGGTTATATCTGCCTTTAACAAAGGAAAAACATTCTGAAAAACTGAGATTAGTCAAATGTTTTAAAAAAATTTTTAATGGAAAAAATGGGAATGAAGAGATAGCTGAACAAACTGTACAGATATGTAGCGGTATGCATATATATTCAAGTTATATGAATATACATTCTTGTTACAGTTTTTTGCTCATATAAGTGCTTAAACGGTAGTTGTAGTTGCTGCTATTATCATAGCAAGGGGCAGCAAATGTTTCTGAAGGGCTGGTTGATCAATATTTAAGGCTTTGAGGGCCATATGATTTCTGCTGCATCTATTCAGCTCCGTCATCATAATGTGAAAACTGCCATAGATAATTCGTAAATTAATGAGTATGGTTGTGTTCTAATAAAATTTATTATAGACACTAACATTTGAATTTATTGTAATTTTCACGTGTCACAAAATATTATTTTAATTTTTTTCAACCATTTAAAAATGTAAAAACCTGCCTTATCTTGCCAGCCGGATTTGGCCTACTGGCCATACTTTGCCAATTCTCTTGTTCCGGTAATCTGGAAGAGATATTAAAGATAAATTAGGGGTTCATAGGGGGCTAAGTCAGGTAAGCACCTGACTCTCTATTTTGGCTCAGGTCATGATCTCATGGTTCGTAGGTTCTAGCCCTGCATCAGGTTCCATGCTGTTAGCATGGAGCCTGCTTGATGTTCTCTCTCTGTCTC